GTGTGGGGGGGAGTGGGTATAAGGAATGGTCATTTCCTATGGTCAGTATCTACATGATGCATGACACCTTGCCTGGATTTATCAAATGCTACAAAAAACCCTCATTAGCTTCAGTCTAGGTAACATCACTGTATTTTCCTCTGCCTTCTTCGTCTGCTTGCTTATTCTAAATCCACAAAACTTAATTTGCTGCTTAGGGTTCTACTACACTGATTTGTTTTCAGTCTTCTCATCTCCTTGCTGTTCATTATCATACCAATGTTATTTCAATACAAATGAAGGTCATACACTGTGAGTATGTCACAGCAGATGCTTGGGGTGATTTCTTGCAGTTAGTCACAAAGCAAACAAGACAGCAAATCGCTAAGACAAGGAAGCAAAGTGGTGCTTTTGCCACCTCCAGGAGTTACAGATTGTTTTATGCTATAAGCATAAGACATTAGTGGTTCTGACTAGAAAGAGAAAATAAGATTAATCTATTGCATTTTCTGTCATCTGCCTGTATATCCTCAGTCACTGCCATTTCATTTTTCTCTGTCTTTTTTCTTTTTTTTTTTTAATGTTTTTCTCCTCTCCCTTTCATGGTCCTGATGGGAGCTTTGCTGATGGCAGGGCTTCTCTCAGAATCTTCCATCCAATAGGGAAGCAGCCAATTCTTCACAGTGATCTATGGTGTTTTTCCCAAAGTTAATTGTCTTGGATGCACTTTATCTAAGACAGGAAAAAAGAACAGTTTATTTCTCAAACATCTGGTTCTATACTTGGATAGCTTTCAGACTGAGAAGAGATTGAAAATACTCCATGCTCCATGCCCCCACAGTTACCATAACCAAGAAGTAAACATAAGATCTAATCCTGAATTCTCTGTCTTTACAAACATTTCATGTCTGTGAAAGACCAGCTGGATTGTGGCAATGTTCTTTGCTTTCTACTGCTGGTGAGACCTAACAGAAAGCACAGTGCATCCCAGCTACAGGAAAACTTAAAAATGGATAACTTTTTCCTGTCCACATTATCTTCTTTGTCTCTTTGCTGTATGTGTTCAACAGAAGGACAGTAAGGGAGTCTGTCCTCAACTTCCTGTTCTACTCCCTACTCTTAGAGAAACTCTGCCTATGAGCAACTATTACCTGCTGCAAAGTGAGATGGTGTCTGCCCAGCTTGAGTCCTGCTTCCTGCCATAGGAAAAAAGGATAGATGGAATTCCTTATGCTGGAATCTGAGGTTTCCTGCATCCTCTACAAATTCAGCTTATGAACCTGGAGCATTTTCAGAGGGAACAACAGTGTATATCTCATACTGAGAATGCACTGGGTCATTTCTGTCATTTCATGAGCATTCACCAGAAGCCCTCAGCTCTAAATGATTGAAATGACTTGACTTAGAGCAGCTCTGAAACAGTCCAGAATGTCAGATGCAAAAACTGATGCTTCCAGCAAAGAAGTGCAGTGGGAGGTACCCAACCTCACCATTGTAACTACCTGATCATTACTCTCACCTTCATCCCCCACTATTCCACAGTATCAGCAACACCACAAGTTGGTCACAATGGAAAAGCTCAGCTTTTCCTATGATTAGCTGTGTTAAAAAATCCGGATAATATACTGCTTTCTCAGTCAATTCAGTGGTAAAACCAACAAAGCAAAGCATCCATCTGGAATCATATCACCCCTCAGGGTTTCTGTTTTATTTACCCTGTTTGTAATCAGCCCTTAAAGTTTATCCAGTTCCACTCAAGCAGCAGATCTTACAAATAATTTCTAAAATATACCATGTTGCTTCTCTGACATAGAATAATGTCACAAAAGGTCCATAAATGGTGCTGGAAGCTCCTCTATTTCTGAACTGCAAGACAGTGCCATTATTTTGACTTAGGCAGTGTCAGAGTATGTCTGCAAGAACAAGTAGTTGTCACTGATTTTTTGAAGAGCTTCTGGGTCTCTGTGCTGTATGAGATCTGTATTTGCTATGACAGCAGCACCTGATCTGACAGTGATGAGACAGAGCTTGACAACTCCAGATGTTAAAACAGCTGTCCAGGTAGTATGTTACATCATGTCTCCTTTGGCAAAAGGAAGAAAATCAGCTGTAGAAGAGCACATATTTCATGTTTGAGAGGGATCAACTGAGAATCTGGAACAACTTTTCACACACAGTGGCTGAAGATAACAGCTTTGAAATCATACTGAGAGCATCTAGTAGTGTCCAGAGCAGACCTCAGTATTCCTGTGGAATGTCAGAAGCCTTTCAGGTGTGCCTCAGAGCAGCTGGCATGCAACACCAGATCCCATACTCTTTCAGATGCATTCTGGTCAGGATCGCTTTTCTTAATCTGAGAGCTGACGCTGCACATGTTAAAGTGATTTGCTAAAGCCTCCTGGGTGGCCTCTATACATGAGGGAAGATCTCAGTAACCAGGAACTCCTAAGTAGGATACAGAAAGATGATTACGAAGAGGTGCTGAATATTTCCCTTCTGATGTATAAATGAAAGGGATGAGCTTGTGTGTGTGTGTATGTGTGTGTGTGTGTGTGAGAGAAATCGGATTCACATTTATCTCCACCAACAGACATACCTGGGAACAGGACTTTCTGAGACCAGTGGCTTCAAAGCTCTAAGTGCATAACTGCTATATGCTTATGGATGGACCCTAAAATGTCTAGTGGCTGGACTGTGGCTCAGTTGCTATGACACTGCTTTTTTCCTGAGCTACATGTCATGGGTGAGCATCTCTAATTTTCTGTGACAGTACTCAGCTAATTTAGTGAAGACCTAGGAGTAGAGTTCACTGATTCTTACTTGTGTGGGGCTGGGATAGAGGAGGCTGCAGTCTACAGGGAATGCTACAGATCCCAGTCTGTTCCTGAAAGAACTGTTTTCCCCGCTTTCTAGCAGAGATGTATAGCATTTTCTGACCTCACTTCCCAAGTTTACTGCACTCAAAGTTTAAACTGTGAATTCCCATTGCCTGGGATCTTAGGAGTGTCAGGTAATGCAAAGTTCTTTTCAGATTCAGCGAAGTATGTAATTTTATAAGGTTCTATAAAAGATACAAGACAAAGCCCTTCTAAATTGAACATTTCAGGCCAGAAAATCTTATTGAAGGCACTAAAGTGCATGGAATTTATTGCAGTATTTAGTGATTTATAACAGTAATTAGACCAGTGATATCAGCACTTCTAGGTTTCTCTTGTATGGGGCATGCTGGATTTAGATCAGCCAGCTCCTCTCAAGCCTGAATTCATAGTTTGCTGGCTTCCACCTAGCTATTGGTTCTCTCATAAGTAGGTGCCATAGTGACCTCTCAATTCACATCACCCACAGGAGCATCCATCTGTGAAATGTATTGTATCACGGAGAGCCACGTCTTTCTCTTGAAGCAACTGCAGTGTTGGTTTTGGGAAAGAACCTCATTATTATGAACAAGTGTTTTGCTGCTGAGGCAAAGAGAAACAGTATTAAGAAATGAAGATGGACAAAAACACAATTTGCCTTGAAGTCTTTATTAGATTACTGACATTTTCTGTAATCCAGGTTGAGGTGGTACTGGAGGCTGCAGTTCACAGTGGTTTCCAAATCTCTCTCTAACAGCTAGATGTAATAGTCCTAGTTATTCTGCCTCAGCTATGTTCAACATCTGCCTTCAAATGCCATTAGCCATATGGATAATTGTTCTGTGTAGTCTGGTGCACTAACCCCACCTCTGACATGAGAGGATGTACGCAGGGGATCATAGAATCAGACTCATACAATCACAGGGTTGAAAAGGACCTACAAGATCATCTAGTCCAACCATCCTGTCACCACCATTGCTACCACAAGCTACTAAACCATATCTCGTAGCTCCTCATCCAGACACCTTTTGAATGCTGCCATGGACGGTGACTCCACCACCTCCCTGGGCAGCCATTCCAGTGCCTGACCACTCTGAGAGGAAAAGTTTTTCCTCATGTCTAATCTAAATCTCCTCTGGCACAACTCGTGACCATTTCCTCGGGTCCTGTTTGTTGCCTGGGAGAAGAGGCCAAACCCCTCTTCACCACAACCTCCCTTCAGGAAGTTGTAGAGTGCAATGAGGTCTCCCCTGAGCCTCCTCTTCTCCATACTGAACAATCCCAGCTCCCTCAGCCGCTCCTCATAGGACTTGTGCTCCAGACCCCTCACCAGTTTCGTTGCCCTTCTCTGGACACTCCAGAGCTCCAAGGTCTCAATGACTTTCTTGCAGTGCGGGGCCCAAAACTGAACACAGTACTCAAGGTGCGGCCTCATCAGTGCTGTGTACAGAGGGATGATTACCACCCTGCTCCTGCTGGCCACACTATTGGTAATGCAGGCCAGGATGCCATTAGCACTCTTGGCCACTTGGGCACACTGTGAGCTTATGTTCAGCTGAGCATCAACCAACACCCGCAGGTCCCTTTCTTCTTCACAGTCATCCAGCCACTCAGCCCCAAGCCTGCACTAAGCCTCAAGCACTGCATGAGGTTATTGTGGCCAAAGCGCAGGACCTGGCACTTGGCCTTGTTGAACCTCATCCTATTCACCTCATCCCAGTGATCCAGCTTATCTAGGGCCCCCTGAAAGGCCTCCCTACCCTCAGGCAGATCAACACTACCTCCCAACTTAATGTCATCTGCAAACAGTGATAAGATGCATCAAGGAGATACAGTTTCAAGTCTCAGTTCTGGGTTTTGATTTCTTTCCCATTCAGAAGGTTTAAATTTAGCACTCCAGGAAGCGTGTTCTCATAGAAACCAAGATGGGTTGCCTTAAGGACTGAGGAGGGTGTTGAGTAGCGCACCCTTTTGGGCAGCAACAAGGTGTGGGAGCAGAAGGTGGTGGTGCCACAACCACACTTTCTGGGGGTCCACTGATACAGGTATCAGAGAAGAGGCTGTTTGGATGAGATTCAGCACTTCTTAAATGTAGCTCAAGATCAAGGCATGTTATTTGCCTTTTGTTTTTCTCTGCTCCTGACCAAATCCTCCTTTTACTTGCAGCTCAGTATTTCGCTAGCATCATGGTCATTGTTGGTCTGTCTGTGGTTGTAACGGTGCTGGTTCTGCAGTTTCATCATCATGACCCACAAGCAGGAAAGATGCCCAGATGGGTAAGTAGATTTGGTAGTAAATATTCAACAGCATTTAAAGAAAATACCTGAAAGTTGTGGCAAGCTGACAAGGGACAGATGTTATTTCCCATTAACCTCAAGTGTCAATTATGGACAGTATGTTTTACACCGTTATGTTTGATATTAGAGAGAGAGAACAAACATACTAAATTTGGGTTTCTCTTAGAAACAACATCAGTTGTTTGGGTTTTCTATTTAAACCTCAAGCAGGGGTAGGTTGATTCATGGCAGAGTAATCTTTCTCTGCACCTGCTTTTTAAGGGCTGGCCCTGTGGGCAACACCTTTGATTTCTTATCCAGCAGACACCTCACATTTATTAGACTCTGCTGAGCAGTTTGTCTGCTCTGTTCCCCTACAGAGAAGAGAACAGCATTACGTTTTCTATTTAATGGCAGAGCTGTGATCTGCCAGAACAAAGGAAAGAGGAGAAGCTGATTAGCTTATCCTGTTTTACAAGTGAACCTATTATGAGCTGGCTCCCAGAAATGCTGGAAAACCAGGAATTTCAATGCCTCTGTGCTGAATACTGAACCCAACTATGCTTCTCACAGTTTGGAGAGGGTTCCTGTTGCACCATCAGTAGAAAGGCAACACTGTTGGGCTCAGTCTGACTGCACTGACATCACTGACTCAGAAACTGCCATTTTCTGAGGCTGCATCCAGTAGTCTGGGTGGAAAATGAATTTTGTCTACTTCCATCTGATCACTTCTCAGTGCAGTTAACATGTGGACACACCTCCTCTCCAGAGGAAGGCTCTGTTATCTCTGTGAGGACTGGGCCCTCTCTCAGATGCCTTTCAAGGGGGTGTATTTATTTTATATTTTCAAGTTAAAACAACATTTTTTTCTCTCTCCATTTACTGAGAATAGCTTTAGAATAAGCAGGATATGCTTTGCTGTTAAAAAAAAAAGAAAAGCAATGGAAGTATAAGCAGATACAAATAGTCATCTGCATATCCCAGTTTCACAGGCGTCTGTTCCTACAGCATTCTGTAGTATCTTATTTGCCACAGTTGTCATGCTAGACAATTACCCTGACATGATGTTAAATGACACATGATTACCAATGCCAGCCTGAGAACAGAAATGCCTTCTAATTTAGCTTCTCTAAAAATAAACTGCAGCATCAAAGCAAAATTAAAAAAATTAAGAAGTAAGTCCAATACCTATTAAGCTTACTAAAAATTACTTCTTGATTTCAAGACTGGAGCAGATGAATACATAGACAAAGTATGCAGCAGTGTAGTAGCTCCCATGAGAAATTCTGCCATTTCTTCTGCTTCTTGAGGAGCCTAGACACAATGGCTCACATTAAATATGATCATAGATCCAGCAAGTCAGCTCTCGCTCTGTCTGAGTAGAGCAGGAGATCCTCTCAGGCCAAGAGGTTCCTTAGGAACACACAAGACAGGAAATTGATGGCATTATCTAGGAGGGAGCGGGGACAAAGGGGAATGGTGAGGGGAAAGGGAGTGGGTGGGTCTAGACCTATGCCTTGAAGTATGTTGTATAGAACTTGTTTAACTACCATTGACCTGCTGCTAAGTTTTGGGGCTACGTATTGGTCTGTGCTTGTCAACATCAGGATCAAAGACTGCAAAGATAAAAACTACAAAGAAGACCTGGATGCATACGCTGGTTCTTGCCACAAAGCTGCTGAGATCCACTGTCAGTTGGCTGAAAAGACTGAGTGCAAGGAATTCTCACTCACTCCTGAAGAACCTGACTCAGTGCCCTGACTACTGAACTGGCATACATTAAAAAATCACAAAAACACACAAACAGAACAAACAAACAAACAAAAAAATCCACCACCACAACTGTGAAGTAAAAAGTATAGAAGGGCTATAGGGAAGGTCAGATGATAGACTGTGAAAGCTGTAGACCAGGAAAGCTGACAGGGCTGTGTGATCTCAAGAGAAAAAAAGCGGATGCCAAATTTGTAGGGATGAATTTGACACCACAAAAGTGGGTGTTATTCCTCCACCATAAAGTAAAAGGCCATTTACAGCACATTTTCCATTTTTATTTTTTCCTGTGCATCTATTTCAGGCAGATTACATTTTTATTTTAGATACATCCTTACAGACTTTTGCTCAATAAAATACAGGAATTTAAGATAACTATCTGCAGAATCTAGGAAATAACTTACTTGCATTTTTTCTCCACAGTTCCAGTCTCAGCAGGTATCCTTACCATCCAATTATTCTACACTGACTGGATGTTATTACAGGATTATTTTTACTTCCTATTCAAATGCAAGTAGCTGCTGGGGAAAGTTCTGGGGGAAGTCACTAGGTTTATAAGGAAGCAACCCCAAAACTAGAGAGTTTAACTGACTGCATTACCTACTGATTTATAAACTTTTCTCCATTGAGCAGTTTTGTTTCCCTGCTTATCTCTTGTCTCTCAAGAACTCTGTGTTTGGCCTTTGGACCAGAAAAGGGAGCAGACAGAAGTATTAGCATTTAGCCTCTCTGTAGATTCTTACTTCACAGATGATAATTTTACCCTCCTCTCTATTAATTTTTTTTTCCTAGAGAGTTGTTAAAATCCAGTGTTCAGCCATGGTATTTTTTAGTTACTCAGTTCAGAAGTGGGGGCTGCTGTCTACTTGGTACTCCCTCCACTCACTATGGAGCAGAGCACTAATGACAGTCCAGCTAATTAGCACTTTGAGAGTAGACAATATCAGGCATGACTTACTGCTCCATCAATATTCCTCTGCTGACGACCAAAGATACTGCACTGTACATGAGAAATACAGGAAGATCAAGCACAGAGCAGGAAGGAGGCTTTCGGATTCATTGAGTTTCAGGTTTTTCTTTGGATATACTTATATTTGGACCAGCTGATGCCATTGAACCAGCAGGCATAAATTTGTGCAGGAGCTTACTTCACTCCTCTCAAGAAGTGTATATAGCTAGATACCAATTTTCTGGATTTTCTGTGATTGGAACTGAGAATATATCTAAAGTGAAACAGTGTTATGCTTACGGGAGAACCCTGGAGATCACAGCAGCGATAGGCTGTTTACCCTTGGCCTCACCTATGTCCTTCATTCACAAAAAAAACCAGAAATGACTGTGCAGATGAGAATGTGTATTCATCCTACCCAGGCTGTTTTCTGACAGCCCCAGCACTGCACCTTGGTTGAAAAGAACCATAATGATCATCTAGTTTCAACCCCCTGCTATGTGCAGGGTTGCCAACCACCAGACCAAGCTGCCCAGAGCCACATCCAGCCTGGCCTTGAATGCCTCCAGGGATGGGGCATCCACAGCCTCCTCGGGCAACCTGATTCTCTGTGTGAAAAACTTCCCCATAATATCTAACATAAACCTCTCCTGCCTCAGTGTAAAACCATTCCCCCTCGTCCTATCACTGTCCATCCTGGTAAACAATCATATCCTCCTGTTTCTATGCTCCCTTCAAGTACTGGAAGGCCACAATGAGGTCTCCCTGGAGCCTTCTCTTCTCCAAGCTAAGCAATCCCAGTTCCCTCAGCCTTTCCTCACAGGAGAGGTGCTCCAGCCCTCTGATCATCTTAGTGACCCTCCTCTGGACCCCCTCCAAGAGCTCCACATCCTTCCTGTACTGTGGGCCCCAGGCCTGGATGCAGTACTGCAGATGGGGCCTCACAGGAGCTGAGTAGAGGGGGACAATCACCTCCTTCTCCCTGCTGGCCACCCCTTTTTCAATGTAGCACAGAACACAGTTGGCCTTCTGGGCTGCAAGAGCACACTGCTGGTTCGTGTCCAGCTTCTGGTCTACCAGAACCCCCAAATCCTTCTCTGCAGGGCTGCTCTCAAGGGGTTCTTCACCCAGTCTCTATAAATACGTGGGATTGCCCTGACTCAAGTGCAGCACCCCACACTTGGCCTTATTGAGCCTCATTAGGTTCTGATGGGCCCACTTCTCCAGCCTGTCCATCTTGAAAGGAAAAGTACGTTCCTATGGTATAAGGGTTTTTCACCTAACATCTCCTTCCAGAGCTAACAGATATATTAAAATTTTTGAGTAAGAAAGTTTGCCTAAGCCAGTATTTTAACACTGTTAAAATATTGTTAGCAATTTACACCTTATTTTGCTCCATGATGTTTCACCTTGTGTCCATAATATGTCATATTACACTGTAATTAAGTAAGTTTAATTAAATCCGGTATGGATTTTTTTAAGCTGCTGCATTAGTTTTCTGTTTATTTTTAGTGACTGTGTAGGAAATAATGAAAGATTTAAAGCCCTCAAGATAAGCAGAATAATTGGAAACAGAAAATAGCCCTTCAGGATAAAGAATAAATGATTCATTAAGAGGAGAGAAGCAGAAAGGCATGCAGAAAATGGCGTACGTCTGCAAACCAGAAGAACTCTCACTGTAGAATTTCAAGTTGCGTAAACATCTTTCACTGGCGATTGCTTTGGCTCTTTATTATTGTTATTCCCACTTTTGGTAATTAATGCCTTCTCTTTTCTGAAACTGTGCTCGTCTTTGCAGTTGCAGCTCAGAGTGTTAGCTGCAATTTCCCCATCCCTGCATCTGCATTGTGCAGGGGGGCAACTCAACCTGTATCTGAAACCACCGTAGAGGCAAAGTGTGGTAATGACTTCTGTGTGGCTGAAGTGTCTGGAGCAGAATCACAGAGGAAGTCTTGCTCTTTCTGAAACAAGCAGCATTTAGATTTCTCAAGTGAAAAAAAAACAAGCTTGTTTATTTAAATTTAAACAGCAGGGGTGGAGGAGTATGCTAAAAATAACTATTAATCTGTTGTGGAATTTTTTCAGCAGAATCCAAACCTTTGTTCCTCAGTTCCATAAGTATTGGTCCTTCCATGCTATCTGAGAAGAGGTTGAAAAAGAATGCAGCCAGTTTTATGCACATTTGCAGAGGTCTAGGATTATCTGCAAACCCTTACATCCATTATGCTTTTCACCTTAAGAGGACACTGAACATCTGTTTGTTCTAGACATATCCTTAAAGGGTTTGTCTCAAGAAGAAGCCAGACACAAAACCACTACATTTGAAAGCAGATAGCTCATGAAGCAGGCAGTCATTCTAGCAGAACATACACATTGACTGTGATAGTGACTAAATGTTTCATTTCTGCTAAAATGGACAAAAATTCCCTTTCCTTATGTTATGTTCCCTTTCTTTCAGGTCCGTGTCATTCTGCTGAACTGGTGTGCTTGGTTTTTACGTATGAAAAAACCTGGGGAAAATATAAAGCCCCTCTCTTGTAAATATAGCTATTCCAAGCACCATCCAAGCCTGAAAAATACGGAGATGAATGTCCTGCCTGGGCACCAGCCCAGCAATGGCAACATGATTTATAGCTACCACACAGTGGAAAATCCATGCTGCCCCCAGAACAATGATCTGGGTAGCAAGAGTGCAAGGATCACTTGCCCCTTGCCAGAAGATAATGAGCATGTTCAAAAAAAAGCTTTAATGGATACCATCCCAGTGATTGTGAAGATACTGGAGGAAGTTCAGTTCATTGCAATGCGCTTCAGGAAGCAAGATGAGGGTGAAGAGATCTGCAGTGAGTGGAAGTTTGCAGCTGCAGTCATAGACAGATTATGCCTGGTTGCATTTACCCTTTTTGCCATCATTTGCACATTTACAATACTCATGTCTGCTCCCAACTTTATAGAAGCTGTTTCAAAGGATTTTACGTAAGCATTTCGAATATGAACACAATGAGCTGAAAGATAACTTTAAAGTGAATATCATCAGTACTATCACTAGATAATTTAACTCAAAACGAGAAGTGTACTTTTATGTGCTGACATACACAGAAGGGGATAAAATTAATTTCAGGAGATAATTATTTCTGATGTTAGTAATAGTAGTTACTGAATAGTATACATACTGACCTCTTACATATTTCCTAGACAATTTCCACACATAATTATGTTATCATCTGCTACAAAATATAGAAAAGAATCCAAATCCACAATGTATTTATTAGAAGTTAACACCAATGTAAATGTGTTATTGTATCTTTGTGAACTTTTAAATATTGTAATAATTTAAATGATAGATTAATGACTAGAAGCAGCATTTTGTTGTTTTCAATATCTTTATGTTTTGTCATATTTGTTTAATGTGGCTGTGACATCTTCTCAGATTTGACAGGCATCTCTCTGCAGTTTTATGAGGCTGCATATTGCATATAAGAAAATAAAGTATTATCATGTTAGCTCCTAATAGTGCAGTGTCTCATATTACTTCTTTTGTTAGTTTGTTTCTAATATAGAAAATGTTGGCTGTTGAGGATGGAAAGAAAGTTCATTTTCCATGATGACAATCATATATATTTTTAATGGCACCCTCCATCCCACTCATCATTGCTACTTAACATCTTAATTTGAAATATTTCTGATCTCATGGGTCACAGTTGCCAACCTAGAGTGATTAAATCCATGTAATTAGTGCAAAATCTTAGCTTCACATCATCTGTAGAAAATTTCCTACTGATTTCTTTGGGGTCAGATTCCATAATTATTACCCATAATCTATTATTATTATTATTATTATTATTATTATTATTATTACTGTTGTTGCTAAGTTTCCTTACAGCAATATTTAGTATCAATTAAAAAAAAAAAAAGAAGAAGAAAGTGCTAATATGTCACTTGCCTGGAAAATAACTGCAATAAAGCACTCCTCTCAATACTTTCATTCCATTCACTACTCTGAGTGGCAACAGTACTTCTCTTGGTGTGATTTTGATTTGTCATCTGATCACCACAGACCTGCAGAAGGATATGGTCTGATGTATACACCTTCTGTCTCTGGGATAACAGCACTTTTCTGAAAGTTCATTGAAGTAAAAAACAACTTATTGTTGTTTTGGGCTGATTTCCATCTTCCTTTTCTTCCAAGTGTTAGTTCTGCACAATTAACATCTCCTGTCCTTACCCCATCCATGTTGAAGAAAAAGAAGCAAATCATGGCTAAATATTTCCATTTAAAAGGGGATGGTGAAGCTGGCCTGGTTTCCATTTTACATAGCTGTAGTGCTCTTGCAGTTTCTTTAATACTGGGTGCAGCTCAGAGGGGTAACAATGACTTACACTAAAAGCCTCTTTAAAAGTTTTTTCTGTATTTCTAAGATCTTGTTCTCCTTCATGGGAGAACTTTTTTCTCTAAGCAGCTCTTCCTGGACCAGAAGGACAAAATGCCCATGATCTTTTCTTCTTCCTCCTGTCCATCTTACTGCTTCTACTAATGAAATTGGCTTTGCAGAGTGGAATTGAAGGGCAGTCTGCCTAACAGAAATAACTGAACTGCAGTATTGTTCTGGGGCTTTAGGTTAGTCTTATATCAGGCTCCGCTCCTGGACTGCAGCTGAAGTGCTCACAGTAAATTACTGCTTTACTCACAGGGACAATAGATAAATAGAAAAGTCTAAGTGTACATTTATTTCTGCAGCTGATGATGCAGGATCCTAAATGACCTTTAGAACACTCGCTCAAGGACCACTAATATTTTTTCTTGAAAATCTCCATTTTTGAAAGTAATCTCCACTGACAGGAGAAAAAGATAAAAGTTAATGTTAAAGCACAAAGTCAGAATAGCTTAGTGTTTTAATGCAAAGCATGCTCTTTACATGAAACGCAGTTTTGTCGGATAAGTCTACTTTCAACTGAATGTATGTATCTTAGGATTAGAAAGAGGTCAGCAGTTGTCTGAGAACAGCAATGGAAAATTAATTTTAATCACCTTTATTTGATAAACTCCAGTGCAAATAAAAATCTCAGTTTTACAGAGTACTATCTAATACTGCTATATGGCCAGCCTATATAGAAATGTCCTAAAATTCAATTTCTGTCAGCTGTATGAAGTTTATAAATCCTTATACTGAACGGATACTCTTTTCTGCTTACTTGTTCAGATGAGAAAGTATGGCAGATCTTTTTGACATCCAGCAGCCACTTAGCCTTCTGGAAAGTAAGAGGACCATCAGAAGAGAATTTGTAGCGTGACCTAGTTTAAAATGGTGCAACAAATAATGGCTGTGCATACAGAAAAATGGAGTATCAATACGTCTAAGATTTTCCTGAGGACTGTAACACCCTAAGAAAAGTAGATGCATCATCTGTGTATATGTATTACAGCCCTTCATGGCATCGCTAGATAGTGTCACAGTGTACCTGTCAAAGTATTACATATTTCTAACAGTAGGAAAAATTGGATAAACAGCAACAAGAAACTAGCCCATAATACTTCTTACAAAGTCCAGACACACAAATGTTACATAAAAAATGATTATCCACAGGAAAGATAGGGACAGGACGCTCAAGGTTCTTCTGCATTTTCCCTCACAGAAGGTGTGGAAAGTTTCTGATATGGAGGTATTCAGCACTGATTTATTCGTGAAGCATAGAAAATAATAGATATCATCAATACGTGATTTTCACTTCGACTCACTACCAGGTTTTCTCAAGTGTCTTAGCTGCCTTATCTCAGATATATATGCACATATCTGAAAAAATTTGGTTTTCTGTCTTAGAATATTGGTAATCATCCTTAAAAGTCTGCTACTTTATACTTGCTACCAGGAGAAATAAGGCTGTACAACTTCTGTTAGTGAATATCACGAATTTGATATTCACTCTTTCTCTTATGCATAGGTCTCCCCTATACTGCAGTCCCTGGAACTGAACACAATACCCCAAATGTGCCTTCAGCAATAGTGAGGAGAAGGAAGGATCACCTCACTTGATATTTTGAGAAATGCAGCCATATCAAGCGTAATAAGACAAAAAAGTACTCAAACCAGATTTCTCAAGCTATGTCTTCCAGCCACACAGAAACTAATGGGATTATACAGAGTTATGTCAGCAGAGGATCTACCCACTCTTAGAATGCACTTCTCTCTTCACAGCTTATACAGTGTTTATAGACCTCACATAAATTTTTTTGTGTCTCAAAAGATAACTGCATGAGAATTCTATTTCCTAAAGTTATTTTAAAATCAGTGTTCTTTTTTTCATGTTCTAAATAGAAAACATTGAATAATAGTTCAAGTAAAATTGCAATATTTCAGACCTATTACAAAACAGAAACAAATTAAACAGCTTCAGATTACACTCAGGCCAGTAATAGCCCAAAGGCAAACAGGGGCAGGCGTTTATGAGGAAAACATGGTGTAAGATTGACTGTATCTGACCTGTTTGCATATTGACTGCTCAGAAGTGTCTGTCTGGGAGAAGAAGGTAGCATTTCTAAATGGATTTGTAAGTCTTAGGTGATTAGAAAGATCATCTACTTAAATAGATTTTCATGATGAGGCATCATAGCAAAAATACACATCCTTTCTTCCACTAGGGAAAATAACATCCTTTTCTAGCAAGCAGCTTTTATTACTTATCGCCTTAGCTCTTATTTTCATTTATTTGCTAGAGGGAAATTTTAACACTTTCATCACCTGATATTCGTAAATCTCATAGCAGTTTATACGCTTACCAAGCAGCCATAACCGTGCTGGTGAAACTGCACTGCACTGAAGCTGCTTTGATTCCCACTGATGTGCTGAAGAGGTGTGGCATTCATTGCTGAATTCATCTGGCTGAATTCAGTGGGAACTGTTTCACTGGCTTGCTTAATGCAACACTGGGGCTTTTACTGCTGCATGACAGAATGCCTAGTGCTCTCTTTGGCACTGTAAGTACGTTGCCACTTCTCTCTTCCCATGGTATCACAGAATCACCAAGGTTGAAAAAGACTGCCAAAATCATCCAGTCCAACTGTAGCCCCATGAAATAGAATCGTCTGGACGGTGAACGGAAGACGTGGGAAGAACTCAGCTGGAAAAGGAGTTGAAATGGAGTTAACTGCACTTTTCATGTATTTTTCTTTATGAAAACTCTTTTGTCAAATGCAAGGAGGCTTTTCTCATTAAGGAAAATGATGAAATCACCAAAGCAGTTGCTTAATAAACTCAATTAGCCATGCACTGAAATCTCTCCTGATGCTCACCTGAGCTGTGATCTATTGCTCACTGCAATTTTCTCTGTGTGTCTCGAAAAACAACAGAGCAGGAGGAGCTGACACATTGATTTTCCCCTCCCAACTATCTTATCGTTTCCATGTAGCTAGGTGCTATTTACATCACAAGCCATTTACATCACTAGGTGAGTAATTTGAAAGCAACTATCAACACTACAGTTTGTCTTTGTAATGCACTTTTAATCATCTTCGGAATCACTGAATTACAGAAACACAGAATCATAGGGGTGGGAGGGATCTCTGGAGGTCATCCAGAATTATGGTCAGGTATATTTCCTCTCTTTAACAAAGTGCAGCAATTTTTTTGTGCATATGAGAAATTTTGGCTTTTTATATATCAATATTTACTCTTTGTTTATGTTAAACTGGCATCACCAGGAGTACATTTCTGTTAGAAGTGAGTCGATTAAAGAGTGAATCAATTTTCACTCTTTTTAACAATCAGTCTTCATGATACGGAATGGCAGAAAGATATGTGACACTGTCATAACAGAGAGTTCTGACCAAGCACTTCAACTACTTCATCACTGCTTTTCCTCATCGTTGTGTTGTTCGCCATGGCTGTAACTCAGAGATTATTACAACTAAATATTCAACTCTTTACAATGGATAAAGGGGAGAAAACAGTGAAACTGGAATCCTTCAGAGCATTTTCAAAGAATTATCATATTTTTTTTCTTTCTTTTTCTTCCTCTCCCCCTTATAGGAAATATTTCCTTGCAGTATTTGGGTTGATGGTCTCTTATTTAAATGGCTCACTTCAAAATTTACTTCTGTTGTTCTGCACCAAATTTTTGTTTTTCTCAGCTATTTGGTAAAAGAATGACTGCACAGGGAAAAAAAAATCATTGCAAGGAGTGAATATAAAATACATTTTTTTATTTCTACACATCATTTATTCCTTTGCACTGAATTGAAGGCCAGGAATGCTACTTAAATGCAAATTAAATGATCAAAGTTAGATTAAAGTGTTTATTAACATTTTATGCTGACCACTCTAACGTACAATTTTCATCATGTCTTCCATTAAGAAGTTTATTCTCCTCAGCATGTTCCTAATTTTGCCATTAAAATTTGTAGGTGAGATTTTAAATATAAGGAAACTAATTAAAATTTTAATACTTTGACTTAACTATCTGTTATTAAATTTTAGTTTCAAGGCTGGAGAAACCAC